GTGTGCACTTCTTGCATTTCATATCAGCTCCTCTAAATTGGATGCACATTTGGCCCCCAAGAAAACTGTAGGAATTTCAATGGCTCACACTCACACTCGCACACACACAAGTATGTACACGCTTAATTTCTTCCTTTCCAGTAGCTGGCTGCCTCCTCGGCCCTTGGGTCATTGTGGTATTTAGGGTCAGACAAGAGCTCCAGTCATTGCGCCCTCCCCGGTGCCTCCCAGGCAGCGCTGCAGCCGTTAATACGCCAGCTTGTCTGGCCCGAGCGCCTCTAACGCCAATGGAAAACCGCCTTGGCTGCGACGAGGCCCCGCGTCCTCCTCCGAGCCAACGGAAAAGCAGGCTAGAGGAAAAACAACCCGGTCGCGGCAGTGGAGCCCTTTTCTGCTGTGGAGACTCCGAATGGACGAGAGCTATAAAACATCCTCCTCTGTTGAGAAGCTTTTCACTTTTTCCGCTTTTAGCGCCGCGTAACGCCGGGTCACCCCCGCGGGGGCTCTGATTCGCTGCTGCTCCCAACCCGGGGGGGGGGGGGGCGGGGGGAGTTTCCACGTGTCCTCCGGAGAGTGTGTGTGTGAGTCAGATGCGGTGTGTGCGTGTGTGGCTTTAAGACACAACGAGCCTTCGCATGGAGATCCACTTTGAGATCAGAGAACGCCAGAGTTCTCCTTTTGCAAGTTGTTCAAAGAGGCTTCAGATGAAAGACGGGGCCACAGAGGTACAGGACGGTATGGACTTTTATCGCTCTTTCTCTCTCCCTATTTACTGGATGAAGAGGATGCTGAGGTTGAAGAGGTCACGTTTGGATCCACAGGTGTGCGTCGCTCTGAGTGTGTGAGTGCTGTTTAGTTTCCTCCTGTATCTGTCCGAGTGCAGTTTGTGTTTGGCTCTTGTCGTCCTGTATAAGCCGGCCAGATGCTACAAAGCCTTATCTGATGTATGACTCGGGACTTTTAAAGAGCAGAAGTGAGATTGACTAAATGGCCACGGTGTCTCTCTTCCTTGTACTTTACATGCAGAAGTCGTGTGTGGGGAAAGCGTTGTATTTTATTGTTATCACTCCGAAATGGCAGCGGGCATGCGTGTTTTTATGCGTATAAATCTTTCAGAAGCTGTCATGTCATTTTTGGTCGGGAGCCAAGCGCAGAGCTTCTAAATGCATAATGAAAAAGTCCGAAAGACACTTAACAAGCACTTTGATGGATGTTTGGTGGCTCGGTCCAGATCCACCACACGGTGATGTGGGCTTTCAGCGAGTGATTCATCGATTGACATTTCTCCTCCCATCAAGCAACCGCAGAATGCTTCCAATCCGGTTCCTATGACAAACACTCGGCTATCTTCTCTTCCTGAGAAAAACAATGTTTTTGTCCCGAAATAACTCGTGTGGTTGCGTTTGCATGAGCGTGAATTCCAGCCGCGTCTGGTTTGAGTGAAGCCTTAAGCACACTGGTCCTTTTAAGAGCTCAGTTGTCACCGCGCCAGAGGAACGTGATAAGAGACGGGTCCCATGGGCTGGCGTTTGACAGGAGGAAAGCAGTGCGATTGTGTTAACAGTCATTTCCATTAACAAATGACCTCATATGTTCCTAGTTCACAGCATCATAATTCAAAAACATGAAACCTCGTTGGTACTTTGCCTCTTTATTTGTTATTTACATTGTTGATTTATGACCACGAGCAGCACGTGGTCAACCCATATTCTCAGCGTTATTGCACAACTGGACTTCTTCTGGTCAGCCATGGAAGAAAAGCACCGCGGGCTTTTTGCCCATCAGCAAGATTCTGTGGCAGAGCAGGTAGAAAAAAACTGCACTAATGGCATCATAATACAACTGTGAGGCCAAGTTTCCTGCTGCTGTGTCAATAGTTTGCTCCTCCTGCTTCGGCTCCCAAGGTCAAATTCAAGGACACTGCAGACGTAGGACTTCCGACTTTGACGGAGGTCGGCGCTACTGTTCACCCAGTGCGTGGTGGTCTCCGAGTAGGAAAAGGGCATTTTCCTCCCCCTGCACAATGCCTTCACATACCCACTGTTTACACCCTGCGTTCCTAAGGCGGGGCAGGTTCCTCCCGGTTTACCCGGCCCTAAGACGCACGCAGTGGCAGACTAAACATGGAGCTTACGTGGGCGTCATCGGCGGGGCAGCCGTTGAAGAATGCCAGGTCACGGGGGGAGTCGGGGTGGCAGCGGCCCCTTGGCCCCCCCCGAGCAGATGGGCTTGTAGGAAGCCTATTGACGAGAACAGAGGACCGGAGGGGAAGAGGGAGGGAGCCCTCAGACTGGGAGCACCGGTCTAAGGAGCTAAAAGAAAGACTTGTCTCGCTGTTCTCCCCAAACAGTCGCACAATACCACAGTTCAAGCCGCGGCAGCGGGCGGACGTGTGCGTCCTTGGGTTTGTGTGTTGGCACGCCTTTTAAGTCTTTCATCGCCGGCGTCACGGCTCTGTGTGAATGAAGTTTGCAAGAAGGGCTTTAAAAAGAAAGCAGTCACCCTGACAAGTTCGACATCCAGCTTTTATGCCGACTCCCGGTGTTGTCGGCAGCTGCTCTCTTGGTCTTCACTCCGGAGAGAGCATCGTTTAGTCACGCTCCATTCGACTCAGTCATTTTATTTACACTTTCTAGGCTTCTAGATGAAAAATCAAGCAGGGAATTGAGTAATAAATATGCCAGTTATCCAGCAGGTTTCTAGGTTAATGAAAGGGAACGATGCTTATAGTTGGACTGTTTATGTGTAGTTGATCGTGCCTCCATAAGCACTATATGGGCATGACAGAGATGGAAACGATTAGTGTTTTACTGGCAGAAAGCTGCTTGGTTGAGGGTTGCAGTGCCTGGGCTATATGTCCTCGTATCGGTGCGGCTTCCGCTTTTTAACTCATGACGAACAAAGAAAGCGTTTAATCCTCTGTTCAGCCTCATTACATGTCTCCAGCTTTTATCAAGTGCAACTTTTTCAAGCTTTTTTCAATCAGTTTACAAAAAAAGAGCGAAACATGTCCTTGTCTGGTTCCTTGGCCCGTCTTTGCACTTTGGGATACAGGTCCTCATATGCTTTGCATTTGAAATATTGAAGTTCCCTTGGATGTTCCCTCTCAACTTCATGTATTAACCACACTCTTTTACTGTCGTCCGTTTAGTCAGCCAACACTATTAAATCTTGCCTCACAGTCGAGGTGCATTCAAGAAGGAGCAGATGAACTCCTAATGCTACAGATCACTTAATCCTGAAGGTCGGGGCTTTTGGCGGCGGGTGTTTACACTGTAACCTTACGCATTCTGTACGTGTGCTGCGAGGCTTAGCACTATTTGAAGTCCTTCTCTGAGTCTGAGCTACACGCATGTAAGCGGGTTAAGTTACACACTCGGGACACGGTCTCACCGCCTCTCAGAAGATGCCCGGTGCCTCTGCAAAGGGCGCTCCTCAGCCGTTTCGGGTTTTCGACCCCCACCTCCGGGACAAATTTGGCGGTGACGAGTGTGGTGAAAAAAAAGAAGGAGCAGGCTGAGATTCCAAGGTTTAAAAATAAACAGACGGATAAACTGTAGCCGGCTTTCAAGAAGTTTCCCAACCCGATCTGAGATGACGTCATCTCCGTGCTGGGAGGTGGAAAAGTGCTACTAATGTTCAGTCCGGGATGGCTGATTTAAGGAAAGATTTTTGGGTGGACTGAATATTATATAGTGTTTTGAGCCATGGTGGCTGTACTGTAGGGCTGCACGGTATGGCAAAAAAATCCATATCACGGTATTATGCAAGATTCTGACGGTATCACGGTATATCACGGTATTGCTATCACGGCTACCCGGACAGCTGTCTGCAACTTGCTCGCAACTGGCCGGCGAGTTAGCGTGTTAGCTTGTTAGCATGTTTGCTTGTTGTGGCTGGCTACCCAAACAGCTGTTCGCCTCTGCTGGCCAACCTGCTCGCAACTGGCTGTCGACTTAGCTTGTTAGCTCGTTAGCATGTTAGTTTGTTAGCTAGTTAGCGTGTTAGCTTGTTAGCATGTCTGCTTGTTGTGGCTGGCTACCCAAACAGCTGTTCGCCTCTGCTGGCCAACCTGCTCGCAACTGGCTGTCGAGTTAGCTTTTAGCTCGTTAGCATGTTAGTTTGTTAGCTAGTTAGCGTGTTAGCTTGTGGTGGCTGCTAGTGTTGCTACCAGAGGCTCGACAGACTTTGCAATGAATCATTTTCTGATCTAACGTGACTCCAAAACCAAAAACCTTCCAAACAGACGCAGCTCCTCTCTTGGGCACAAGTTGTGTTGGTGCATCTCAGGCCTCTCGTTGTTCCTCCTGTATGCTCTTTTCCGTGTTAGCGGAGTTAACGTTAGTTACTTCTTGTTGTGAGCTGTACCCAGCATGCAGTTCGGCGGTGGTCATTTTTATAAATGTACATACAAATGTATAAAAATGATTAGTGTAACAAATTGTTTTTGTGTCACAAGCTGTTGTGTTGTGGTGTTTTACCCTGTTACAGAGTTGTTGTGGGTCATTGTTGTTATAAAGTTGTAACCATGACTCAATCTCAACACATGTAAGACTAGTAGCTCTGTCGCTAGATGTTACATGATGAAGTGTTAAAACGACAGTTGTTATTGTGTAACACCAGCAGGGAAATCCTACTGTCCTGTGTTCAGTTGGTTTTATGCTATTGTGCTTGGTTTTCATTTACAAAAATATTTACATTCTGGCTTCTCTCCCCAAACCTCAAAACAATACTGATTTTTTTCCCCACATTAAACAATTCTCAAATTACAGAGAGTAGGATCACAGTGGCCGATTCAGCATTGCACAGGCTTTGTTTGTCCCAGTGAGAGGCAAAGTATGGCTGCCTACCAATTGCTGCCTTCTCCCAAACGCTGCGGATTAGGTGTGCCCTTTAACTGGCACACCTGTTATCAGACAAGGAGCTTATTACATGGTGGTGAATTACAGCCCTGTACAGAGAGTGTACGCACTAAGTTAACTTCTGTCTCTGTGTTTCAGATGAGCTAGAGGGCAAAGGAATGAATTTCCTCTGAGGAACGATGGCGACGGAACCGTGCACATAGGAGCTCCAATCTGAAAAAGACGTTTCCGACAGGTGAGTGTGTGGTCTTCATGTGTGGCCAATATTAGTAAACTTGATATACGCACGAAAAAGAATTATTTACTTTACTTTATGTTTCACACATCTTGGTGTTCGGCTAAATCTACGTGGTGTACACCACAAGTTCAATGATTTTAAGACCGTTGAAGGTATTAAGCTTAACCAATTATGTTATATTAGTTGCAACATGTGTCTAACCAGCACTATCTGCAATAGCCTTAGCCCTGTAATGAAATGTCTGTGTGGTCACGGCGCTCCATCACTAATGTCTGGAAGTAATTTCACATTGTCCGGAACTCCGTCTCACATAACAACCATGACAGTATTAGGTATGTTCATCTAACTGGACTAAGAATGAATGGATCTAGTAAAATGGGAGGAGCGGGGGTTCATTACACAAACTCCAAATGAAACGGTCAAGGGTGTATGTTATGGTTTTATGTGACTGTAGTTATTCTAGTTTATGAGTAATGAGTTAATTTTATGTCTCTGACCTGCTGGGTTTTCCAGTAGCATAATGCCGATGACATTATAATTTAGTTTCCCTGCTTTCATTTTTTCCAGGCAGCAATGGGAAATTCAGAGAGCCAATATAGCATTCAAGGCCCCAAAGGCACCAGCTTTGTCTTCCCAGGGAGACCGAAGCCATGCTCACTAAAGCTGCAGTCGGCCAGAGATGATGCTCTGTCGCCCCATACCTGGTGGAAAACTGCCCCATTGGGCTCAGGCTACAAGGCCAGGTGTGTCGCTCGCGGCTGTCTGTCCCCTCCCAAGAGCAGGCCGCCCTACTCCCCGAGGCACGGTGACTACGTCTCTAAGGGGATAAGGGGCAGCCCAGGTGAGCATCGCTGGCGTCGGTCGCCTGGATGCGGTTTACGAAGGCGGCATACGTCGGATCAGTACGAAGACAACCCATACGGGGCCGATATTACTGGGGGTACTCTGAATGCACACACAGATGAACACAAAGCTTTAGAGGAACAGAGCAGCCCGCGGGTGGTGATCAAGAAGGACGGCAGTCTCAGGGTGGAGTTCACCAACACCTCGGGCAATCCCGTCCTCCTGGACGAGGCTTCTGGGCCCGTACAACTCCTCAAGTTCTCCCCCAACCTGGAGTCCGCATCCACTCCCAGTCTGCCTGGCTCCAGTGGCAGTAGGCAGGACGGCCACCACGGCGGCCCGCCTCCCGCTTCGACCTCCTCCACGGCCAGGACCAGCAAAGGAAGCTCATTGAGCTCCGATGGCTCTTGGTATGACTCCCCCTGGGGGCCCGGCACAGAGCTGTGCGAGCAGGAACAACCCTGCTCAGCAAGCAGGACACTGGTCCACTCCCCCATGCATCCGCTTGAGCAGACCCCACCAGTGTCCATCACGGACCTCTATAAGGACTCCACGATGGCTGCCACGTTCCCCACTGCCAGGGACCTTTCCTCCCACTTGCATCAGCCTGCCCAAGGCCAGAGGCCACACAGAGCCTCTTTTGCATCTGTCCTGGATGTCCCGTTGGAGGAAGAGTCCGCTGAGGCCTGCCAGTACTCATCGTACACACTGCCCTGTCGCAGGCCCAAAGCCCACACCATGAGCGAGGATCTGGACCAGTATCCTGACCAGGAGCTGGCTGACCCCGGTTACGGCTTCCATAAAAAAGACTCCATCAAAAACCGCATGAGGCGCTTCAGTGACTGGACAGGAAGCCTCAGCCGCAAGAAGAGGAAGTCTCAGGTATGTTTGATTCCCATGCCTTTGCCATACAGGGATCTTATCTACATGGTATGTAAAACAATAGGTTGCCCCTGACTCATAGCCCTCATAGCACTCAATAGACAACATTTGTTATCCTCTTGTTGCGCTACTCTGTTGTTGCCTCACAACTAGCCCTAAGGCTACAGCTTGTTAGACAGGTGAGGGCACCGGCAACGCAGCAATGCACCGAGAGTTTCCTGTCTGGCAAGGTTTATTTGATCGCAAACCACAGCGGTGGTCTTGGCATGGCCACCGGTCCTCTGGTCCTTAGCACTGCAGCACCAGCTGTCCGGAGACAGGGAACAGTGGGGCGGCACAAAATAAAATCTGTAAGGCAGCCAGAGCTCGGGTCCTGTTTGTTTTTCATGATTATGGAACAAGGATGCGTTAGGCATGGATGATCCTCAGAGGACAAGAAGTTCGGGGCTTGTGTGCCGTTTTCATGATGACTGTATCCGGGTGGGTACGTTTGAAGTACTATTGCACGCTGATTGTTTGTGATTGGTTGTCGTTTAAACGAGTACCTGTTGCATGTTAATGTTTTTGGCTCTTTTATACGTACAAATGGCCGGCGAAGGACACAATTTCACTGAACGGTATTCGTACTTTGTTAATGGAGTAGTGATATGCTAGCAAATGAGACAGCTGGCTCTCTCCATATATATATAGATATATATGATGTTGCCTGCACAGAATTAATAAGAACCATGTGATTTTGTTCTACAAACACTACATTCTTAATGGCTTTAATTTAACATAAAACGTTTTTTGGAGCCGAGCCTGAGCTCGCGTCCCTCTGCGTCTTTGGGGCTTGAAAGCGATTGTTTCTGCATTAATTCGTTTAGCTCTGGCTTGAAAAAAGTTTAAAGAACCCTGTTTGGGCACTGCCAAGAGAGTAGCTGTAAGCCTTTGAGAGGCTCTGTTAGAGTGAAACTAAATCCTAGCGGAAGATTGAACCCCACCCCGCTAATGTTAATGAATGACTTGTGGTTGTTCTGGCTGTTGTGTGGGGAAGAATTTCTGCCCCCCCTCCCGTGGACCCTTGAGAGTAAATCTGCTAATAGGGATTGGTGTTCAGTCAGTTGTGTCTGACAACAAACCAAAGACAAACTGGAACAATCGCTGTATTCCGATGGCATTCTCCTCTTCGCTAGGGGATGAATGTGGGAGCTTCTCCTTGTGCTTAAATGGGGGGGGGGGGGTTGATACTTTGCCTTGATGCTGTCAGTCCTCCCTGACAAATACTCAGGAGACTTACGGTATTTACATCGGCTATGTTCGCCTCTAAGTCCCCTACTTGCCATAACACCGCGCTAATCTCATGCAACGCGAGAGACTAACGCACACAGATTTACTCTAGTCTTTGTCATGCAGAAATTAAGCTGATTAACGTCCCAAAGAAACTTCTAAACGAGGTGTGATTTACTGGAGGAAAATATAATCGCCAGTAGCATTGCATCGTGTTCCCGTTATAAGTGACTACGTTGCTTCCTTCGCTGCTTCTTAAGGAATTTCCTCGGTTCTCAGGGAGCCATTTTGTGCAGTGCCAAACCTCCGTGGCATTCGTCTGCAAAAGCTGTTCACAGTGCAAGGCCAAAAGACCAAAATCAGGAGCACGTCCAGCTCTGGTACTCCTCCACCTGAGCTCCAGGGCGGTGTTGTGGGTTTAGAGGTCACGCTGCAACCCCGGTGTCAAAGGCCAAGAACCTGCTTTTAATTAAAAGCAGCTGGAGAACCGGGACAGGGTGGACACATCAAGGCTGTGTCAACAAAAGGAAAATAAGGAGAGCTGAAAAAAAAAAAGCCCCACCCTGTGCTCGCAATACATTTTCTTTCATCTGAACTATAAATACGGTGCTTTTTATGGTGGCAGGTGTATGTAATGTCTAAACAGAGGCTGTCCTCAACTGAACACTGTAGGTTGAACGGGTTCATTGCTCCCCTGTAGATAAACAGGAACCTGTGAGAATTAATAAAGCATTAATTACCTTGCTGTTATTTTTCATATAATTGAAGCATTTTCCGAAGGGCTTTAAGAAACATCCTGTTTTTTTGCTTATATAGTTGGGCAACATTTTTTGCCAAGCATCCACAATGGGAGTAGCATTAATGAGTCTTACATGGACGATGCCGAGTGGGAGACGGCAGCAGGCGGAGGATGAGCATGACGGTGCTGCTCTGTGTCTACATGCCGCACGCCACTCTGCTGCAAGGGGCGGAATCAATGCTGCAATCTAGTCGAGTGTAGACTGTCATCAGGCACGAAAGACTGCAATTCCATCAAGTGTTCATTTGTAAGAGTCGGGAAGCCACGGCAGACCTCAAATGACATGAAATCGTGTGAGCCCGCAGGGTGCCAACACAGGAAATTTGTCCCACTTTCTCAGCCCCAGCGACAGAGTTAGAGACCGTAATGCAGACTTTGAAGTAGGTTTGAGTGGTTTTATTTTATTTTATTTTTTCTTCTTCAAAAGTTCCTCCACCGCGCCTTGGGGCTAATTGAAACAAGCGCGGTTTGATTGTCGTCCCAATGTGAGCTGTGATTCGGAGGTGCGCTCCTCTGGCAGCGAACATGTCGTGCTTTCGCATAAATGAAGGCGGGAACAAAACTTCTGTTCATCCGTTTGGAGATCTCCAAGTTAATCAGACAATTTGGGTTTTGTTTAGTTTACATGAATCTCATCGTCCCTCTACATGGTCGGTCTGTTCTTCAGCATCTCATGCTCCTTTTCTTATCTTCAGGAGTGCAGGTACAAGGACCTGGGCGACGCCTTCGATAGCGGGGTCGATGGCCTGACCGCAGACACCAGCTCCCCCTCTCAGGTCTCCAGCCTCCTCTGGTTCCCCGGAGCCTCCAGGGCCCAATCATCAGGAGCCATCCACCAAACGACCAGCGACGCCCTCCGCCAGAACATCTACGAGAACTTCATGAGGGAGCTCGAGACCGACGCGGGAAAGGGCGGAGGGGGAGGCGGCGAGAGAAGAGACCCGTCCACGGGCACCGAGGAGGGGGAGAGCAGCAACGAGTCGGCCGAGGGCTCCCTGGAGCAGTTGGACCTGCTGTTTGAAAAGGAGCAGGGGGTGGTCAGACGGGCCGGCTGGCTGTCCTTCAAACCCCTGGTCACCCTGCACAAGGACAAGAAGCTGGAGCTGGTGACCCGCCGCAAGTGGAAGCAGTACTGGGTGACCCTGAAAGGTGAGCGTGAGTCCGGGAGGAAAAGGAGGAGGTGGGTTTCCATTGAGGGAAACGATCACGCTCGTTGAAATTGAGTCAAAGAATGTGCCGTCTTTTGGTTCTAAAGTGATTCACAGGTAAGTAGATTAGTACCTTAATTCAGTTTTGAGGAGCATGCAGGTCCCTCGTTGTTCCTCTCCACGTCAGCTCTGTCCTTGACCACGACGTTACACTCGACAGTGAGCGATTTTCATTCCATCCCACCCTAAAGGCTTCAAGGGAATTATGCTGTTGCTTCTCGCTAAATTGATTAAATTTAGGCCACGCTTGCTGCTTTTATATATATACTGCAGAGCACCTCTTGGAAGTTAAAAATATAAAAGAAATAGCCAAGGACACTGTCATCATTTGTGGTCTTTTGAGAGTGTGTAAAACTTTTCTGAGTATCCCGGTCCAGCAGGACTTCATTTGTTGGATGTGTTTTTGTTTCAAGGACATTTCTTCTATAAAAGTTCATGTGACAGCTGTAAAAAAAAAAAAAAAGAAAGACAGAAAATTTCAGTCTAGAGAAACTTGTTTTCTGCATCACTCACTTACGCACGCTTGTGTCTGTCTTTCTCTTCCATCATTTCCAGGATGTACATTGCTGTTCTACCAGACCTACGGGAAAGGCTCTCTGGAGCAGGAGATGTCCCCTCGCTACGCTCTGCTAGCCGAGGACGGCATCGTCCAGGCCGTTCCGGAGCACCCCAAAAAGGAGAACGTTTTCTGCCTCAGCAACTCGTATGGAGACGTCTACCTCTTTCAGGTGAGGCCCGCTGCTTTCTCTGAAACCCTTTGCGGATGATTGGAAGAGTTCTCCTTCTGGTGTCAGCAGAGTTTGATGAGAACAAACGGAAATATGCAGTTGTGGTTATGGGTTTTACAGTTGCAATAAATGGTTTTGGTTGAATTATACCAGACTTTTTTAGCTTCCTATGAATGGACCCAATTTTGGCATTGGAGGGACTTGCAAAGTGCCCAAACTTCCAAGCTCAGGGCCTGAGAGCTCATCCTATTTGCCTGTGGCTGACCTACGTATCACCACGAAACTCATGGCCGTTCTCGGCGCCTCGCCTGTAGCCAACGGCGTGACAAGCTCTCTAGACCTCAGTACGTATGTGATGTCTGCATCTGATTAAGTAGTTCTGTGTGGAGCTGACATGGGCCCAAGAGGCGAGTAGAGAGAAAATCAGCTCGGTAGCATGAAGACAGCCTGGGGTTTCTACCTTTTTTGTTTCCACTCACACGGCCCGTTGAGCATGAGTCAATCCCAATAAAAGGGGGGGTTCGACTGATCTCTCAACTGAAGCGGCTTTTCCAAGTGGATTACAGAGTGATACTCTTGAAACGTTTTTTTTTAAGGGCAAATGTGTGTTTGATTTCAGCAGGCGTTCCAAACCTGTGCTTTCCCATTGCGGCACCGTTAGTGACGTCTTCTTGTTGATCCAGCGAAGCCCATCTGGCCACCCAACGATCTCACCGCATTGTTATTATTGTGGTTAAATAACAGAACAGCAGTGCATCGCCGATCCTGGCCGATCGATCAGCCTTTTTTGAACGTCTTGTAACGGGAACATTGGCCTCGCTACTTCACCAAGTTGAACTGCCTGTCCCTCCTCGGCCCCTCCAGGCCAGCAACCAGACCGACATGGAGAACTGGGTGACGGCCATTCATTCTGCCAGCGCCTCGCTGCTGGCCAAGCGCCAGGGGAAGGAGGATACGGTGCGCCTGCTCCGGAGCCAGGTCCGGAGTCTCCTGCAAAAGATCGACATGGACGGAAAGATGAAGAAGATGGCCGAGCTGCAGCTGACGGTGGTCAGCGACCCCAAGAACCGCAAGGCCATTGAGAACCAGGTGAGGTGGCGGTAACGAGACTTTAGTGGGAACTTTAGTGGGAACGTGTGCCAGCATCACTGAGCATCACAACGTCGGAGGCCCCAATACCATTTTACACTGCATTATCTCTGAGTTGTTGTTCCGTGGGATAGCGACCACACAATGTGCCTCACTTCATTTGCCTGAATTTGCGACTGCGCCGACTAGCTTGTGCTTATTCGTGTCTGTGGGCGGGTGAAGTGGCCTGAATGCATCAGTCCCCAAACGCATCACTAGAGGCCTAGGGGAGCAGCTCGCTCCCCGAGCATCAGATCGAGATTCCAGATGTTTCCCGGTAATGGGCTCTCAACATGCATTATCCTCCTCCTCCTCCTCATAGCCTGGGGGAGAATCCAAAGCACCCAGCGCTGTGCTGTAGCCTACATATAGCAGATTACGGACGGTATAAGAATCCCCTAATATATTGCTCAGCAAGACCCCCCCAAATACTTTCACTAGAACTTGTTAGTAGAATGTGGGAAATATAGCTTTTTTTTCATTTCTGTGACTGAGCTGCTCATTGACTTGGAGGGTCTCTTGCTTCTCTTACAGCCGAGTGGGTTCGCATTTCGTCAGCTGCTCGTGTCACTGTGCGCTGGCTCAGTTGGACCAGAAGGGCTGTTATTTGGTGTTTAGCTTAAGTGCAGTGGGTGGAAATATGAGCACGTCATTATGAATGCTCGTATTCACAGATGGAGATGTCGCTGCCGCGTGCGAGACTGAGCGTGTGATCTGTTTCCAATTAGCCAGCATGCCACCTCAGAGGACACAAAGGGAAAGAGGCTGGAGTCAATGATAGGGTCAGAGGGGTATGGGACGGGACTCGGATGCAGGCGCCCCCGAGGCTGATGATAGATTTAAGGCTTCGATGGGGTTGTCTAACCCCAACGAGGGCCCCACTTTGATGTACCCCACTCCCACCGATGTCTGCCGAAATCGGTGCCAGTAGACCTCTTTTGAAGACAGCATTTGCCCCCTTTCACACAGTCTTGTTCACGTAGACACTGCGATCAGGTTGCATTGAAAGACTTATTAGGCATTAGGGCTTTTTACAGAAAGGCAGGGGCAGATAAAACGGGGAAATAAGAAAAGATGGGACTCTGTTAAAAGGAAGGCTTGTGCTGGGCTTAATGGCGCTTAAGTGAATGAAAATAAGTTTGCGTGCATTCAGGCCAGATGGGACAACACATGCCTTGCTTTTTACTGATGTTGGTTGTCTCACTGCAGTTATTCAGGCCTGCTAAAGGCATGATGCAACAGAATGCATATAGGCAGTCAGTGATGCACCCGTGGCATGAATCATCAAATCAAAAAAAATCTGCAGGGCTATTTTAAAACATCCCTAAATGAAGACTTGGATATTTGACTCCGATGGGGTATAAATCAGGGCCTTGCTGGTATATTGCCTGATAGTTATACATAGATGTGCAATTTATTCTGACGCAGCAACTCTGCTGAATTTGCCTTTGCTTTTGATGAAGGAGCATATCTCATTTACTCAGTAGTACCTTCCTCCCTGTCTGAAGTCCTCTTCAAACCACCCAGTGGGATTTATTTACTGTTCCTGCAGAACACCCTTTTACATATAATGACGGAGGAATAGCAGGATAAAAACGTTCTTTCTTGCTTTACTTACTATCTGAAGATTTATGTACATGTACGTTTGTCAGCTTGCTTATGGAATGATGAGAACAAAGACACAAAAGCTATCTGCATTAGCTTCTATGCTTCTTGCTAAGCATGCTAATGCTATCTGGGACTAACGTTTTCCCAAAAAGAATACCTGTTTAGTTGCAAAAAAGTTGTTTTTATTATACTTCATTGTGCTACATTTGCTACATGGTGGTGTGATCTCTTTAGAGCTCCCTTTAGCTTCTAGCTATAGGCGGCTACGTGGTGACCTGTGACATTTATGAGATAATGCTAGCTAGGACGAAAACACAGTGTAACAGTACTATACATGTAGAGGCGTATTCATTTAACTAACTAACTTTAGCCACTTAAAGCTACTAGTTATAGTAAGTACTCCTGGAGCAGATGAAATGTGTGTTTGTTTGTAGACAAAGAGGAAAAACATGAAAAACTTATTAGTTTGGCTTTAAATGAAAAATAAATGTTACCACCAAAAGTTAGAAACTTTAATATATACATATTATAAAAAGTAACGATACTGATTTTACAGATATAAAAGTGAATATTCTAATGCCGTACTCTATTGTTTACATGTTTCCACTCATTTATGTAACTGACATGCCACAATGCGTTGCCATTTTGACCCAAAGCCTGTGGATTCCTAAAAGCTGTCTTCGTGGTTCAAGTCAGGAAAGGGAATAATGACGATCTTTGACTCGAGGCTTGTTAAGGGAGGCCACCTGCGCTGGTGGGTACGCGGGCGTTTTTACGGGCTTAGCACATCGCCCAGTATGGTCCCATGTGGATTTCTGGTCTTTTTTGGAGATGTTTAAAAACTCTGAGGTTAATAAAACCACCACCCTCCTGTTCCTATGTCTACAGAATGCCCTCGACGTAAATGAGACCTACTAGCAAAATGCCATCGGGTGCGTTATTGTAAAGAAACTCGCAGTGCAGACGAGACCTATTAAAGTCAGTGGTTACAGAGAGCTGTTTAACTTGAGTTTTCTCAATAAAACCAGTCTTCTGCCAACAAAATAAGCACTTTCTCATAGTGCACATAGTGCAAAGAGGGATGGGGCGAGCCACTGTAAACTGTGTGCATGTCGTGTTTGTGCGTGTGTGCGGGTGTTCTGTGCAACATCACCACTCTCTCTAGACTTTCATAAGAAACGAGCATCAGGATTTACTGCCCACACTCTGACTCCTCGGCTGGATGTTGCGGATGTATAGTCGCATCAAACCCCCACTAATATGTGCCCTCACCCTCCGCCAACATCTGCAAACAATTGCAGCTTGATGCAAAGCCCCTCGGCTGACCCCGGAGGCCCCTCCATGGCCCTCTCTCCCCCACCCCCCCACCCCTCTTTTACCTCCCTTTCACCCTCAGCTATCCCACAAAAACCATTTAGAAACCTGTTAAGTAAACATCTTCCTTTTTCCTCCAGATCCAGCAGTGGGAGCAGAATCTGGAGAAGTTTAACATGGATCTGTTCAGGATGCGCTGCTACCTGGCCAGTCTACAGGGGGGAGAGCTGCCTAACCCGAAGAGCCTGCTGGCAACGGCCAGCCGACCAACCAAAGCCACCCTGGGACGTCTGGGGATCTTCTCTGTCTCTTCCTTCCACGCGCTGGTGAGGAAACACAGGACGAGCCCTGAGAACGAGCAGATGAATGACTAACACACATCATGCACAATACGCAATCAAAGGTCCATGTGTGTGCACTGACTGGATGCCTTTGGACACTACTTGTGCATTTGTTACATTACCATTCTTTTAGGCAAAACACCTTCCAACACACTCTACCTTCACGCATTACTGGAGTGAAAGGAAATCATTGAAATGTGTTTTTTCGTCGAGTTTTGCAGTTCTGATGGCTCCGTGTGTCTGCTCAGATTTGCTCCAGAGACGAGGCCACACTCAGAAGGCGCTCGCTGTCCCTGACGCACCGACGGCGCAAGAAAGGCCTTTTCTCGTCTCTCAAAGGCCTCGACAACCTTACGAAGAGGGGCCGGGATAAAAGGCCCTCCGCCTCACAGGTACCACAACGCGCGCAAGCAGATCAGCGCATTAATTAGATGCACATATCAAAAATCACCAAATATTAGCGTATTGTGTGTGTCTGACAAGCCCGGCAGCAGCTTTTGTCTCTAAATAATCTCCACGGAAACCCGCCTTGATGAAACCCGTCTCCTCATTGCTCCTCACCCTCAAGAAAGAAAGACACTGCTACAGTCATGCATCCATCTCAGCCCTTTTGTCCCATTAAAAAAGATTGCGTTAATTCGAAGCACATAAGCTCACGTTCCTGCCCCCTCGAGCGCACATCCCCCATCAGCATGAACACAGAGGGGCATTCCTTTCCCAGGTCTTAATCCTCACCGGTTAATAATTAGACCCGTGCGAGCGGAAGATTCATTGATACTGAAATCCGCCCCTCCGAACACCGAGGGTATATCCCTGGAGCATGCTGAGCTCATGGTTGTCTATTTTTAGAATCGCCACATGGAAATACTCATCTGCTCGGCTTTTACAGAACTCTGTTCAGTAGCTGAGAGGAGGGGAAGGAGCGGAGAGGAGGAGGCACGGTTTCGCCGACCCTTCAACCCTTCGCGTACTGTTTTGGCGGTCGCACAGCTACGGGTCAACCGTGGACTCCGCGGTGACTGAGCCGCGTTCCACTTGGGCTCATCCTGCTCAGCCGTCCCACCACCTGCTCTGTGACATTTATGCTTGTGCGTTCGCACCCGTCCCGTCCGCGGATAGATATTGTTTTCCCGGCGAGGTCCAGCCCGGCCCGGGCCTAATGAGGCCCAGTTACATTTCGCGGTGCAGACGGCGGCGGTGGCGCGCATGAATTATTGAGCGCCATGTGTGGCATTCTCCACTCTTTCTCTCAGCCCAGCAAGCACCAGCAGATGGTCGTTGTAAAGGCCGCTAAATATTAAACAGCCTCCCTTTTATTTCTTTCCCACCACCTTCTCTCACAAGCTTGTTTTAGTGCTTTTCAGATATCATTTTTTCTTTGCGTAGAAGCGAGCCAGGAACAGAAAAAGGCCGGTCAGGGCTTGGAGGGAGTTTCACAGTTCTGGTTTTCTGCTGTTTTAGACTTCAGCTCCTTGGCTATTCTCTGCTGTACCGACGAGACACACGTTTGTTGCTTCTTACTCCACTCTCTCTATTTGACGTCCCTACGGAGGAGTTTCATCTCACTCTCCTCCTCCCCATTCGTCTGAGTTTTCTCCGGCCACGTCCTCTCTCAAACCGCCTGTTTCTCAGGGCACAAACACACAAGCGTTAGCCGGCGCCTTTCTCCCACAGTTTCCATACTGACTCATCTGCGATGCCTGAGCCTAAATCTCATTTACCACTGCACCGCCGCGCTTAGCAACCATGCCCCAAAGTCACGCCCCCCCCCCCCAATCTCCTTCCCTCTTTTTTTTTTCCTCATCCGTCTTAAGTGAGCTATGTATACCGTAAGGAGCAGGTCGGCTGTGGGAAGTAAGCCAGAAAGGTCTGAGGATTTGTGGACGGGTTGGTGAGCCGTTCTAAAATTAGTCTGTTTACAGCCGCTTTATAACTGCACTGGATGAGTTTCGTCTGCTCGGAGGTCAGCCTCCTTCTTACCGTCACAATAGAGTTTATCTCACTTTAAATTAAGCTTCTTGAGAGGGGGGGGGAAACAATCCCGATCCTGAGCAACCACGGAGGTGTTAAAGCCCTCCGAGGCGGCAGAGTCACCTCCAACACGACGCGCCTCACAGGGCAGGGAGAGGCTCTGAGGAGGAGACGCTGAGGAAGATGAGGAAGTGGATCAAGAGAGAGATTTCCACGCCGAGGGCTCGGTGTGTGTGTGTGCGCGCGTGTGTGTGTGTGCGTCCTCTTCTTCTGTAACTGGACTGTTTCTCCCTTTCATGTCTCTTCCACACAGAAACCGCTCTGTGTCCGCACACACGCCACATATACCCACCATCGCACCTTCAAAGGCTACAGAGCCCGTTTAGCAGCGCTATCAAAGCGCAGCACTCGCCACACGTAGTTTTTAATTAACAACATAATAGCACTGCTTGTGTGGGTGTGTGTGTCTAGTATTGTGTTTGCCGGCGACTCAAATTGCCCGTGAGTCGATGGGCGCCGCCGCGCCCCTCCGTCTGCGCTCCTAACTGTCCGTCGCTTTGTTTCAGATCTTTGAGAGCGACGCCGGAGGTCAAACGTACGGCCTCCCCCCCCGGAGCACGGAGGTGAGTTATGGCGTCGGGTAACTCTGTCCGATGCGGCTTGTGGATCTTTGATATATCTATTAAATTTTCCACTGCCATCTTTTATCCCGCGGCGCTGTTTTACGAGCTGAATTATCGTTTTAGGCGTGAAGAAGTCAAGGCGGTGTTACTTTGACCTCCGCAGCGCTTCATCGCTTTGATAGTGGTCCGTGTAAAGATGATATTAATCGCGCGCGTGTATCAAGAAGTGTGTGTCTGCCCTTTGTAATTTACTCGTGCGTGATCAAAGCAGCGGTTCTTTTCATGTTTATCAGCAGGTGTCTGAAACAGAAATGCGCTGCTCGTCCAACACCAGATTTTCAAACCGCGTTGAACTCCGGCGGGCCTCCAATTTTGGGGCGTGACTCGGTTAACGGAGAGTGTCGACCACACGTGAGAGTGTGAGTGTGTTGATTTCCGGTAAAGGTGCTGGGCGGTTGTCTTTGTGGCAATAGAGACACGGCCAGCAGCAGGTTAGCTTGTTCGTACACAAACTACTTGATGTTAAAACAACAATTTACTCTTTCTTGGCCGGGCACAAAGAGGGAAGAGCAAATTCTTGTTTTGAGCCTTTTCTTTGGATACATTACCATGCTTACAGTTTCCCCCCGTTTCCAGTCTCTATGCTAAGCTAACATCAAAGCTAACGCCTGCTGGATGTAGCATCGTATTAAACAGAGCAATATCAACCCTCTCATTTCAATGTCCGCAATAAAGCCGATTCAAATATTCCCATAAATATTCAACTATTGACTGATTTTGGCTGCAGCCCACCTGCTGAGAACGCTCTGAAGTGACTCTTAAGCAAGCAAATACCTTTTTTTAAAATTCAAATGGAGCTATTCTGCAGCTGAGCCCTGACATGTTTGATAGATATATTTTCGGTCCCCTCAAGTCAAATCTCATCCAATCTTTCCAGTCGGTGACAGATAAGAACAATAGACGCTTTTAGACGGGTAGAGTCTTCTATTCCGCAGGATGCTATGATTCATCGTGTGAGTGTGGTGAATGAGGCAAGTGTTAAAACTTCCCCCATTTAGGGCCTAGTAATGGACTCGGGACACAACAACGGCCTTCATTGAGTCAACGCTTCAATCTATTTTTTTAATGCGGCGGCGTATTTTGGTCTCTCCGAGAGTTGGAGGTGGAAACCGGCTCGTCAGTGGAATGGGTTTGATTTAAGGGGATTAGGCCCCTTTGGGGCAGAAAAGGTGAGGCAGGGGGAGGACGGCTGAGCTTTATTGATTTTTGTTGGCACATACATCATCTGTCTTGATGACATTGCTGCTGTTGTCTCAAATCCGCCGAATTACTCTCATAAGCAATCATCTTCCGCTAATCCGTCAAAGTGAAGTCGAGTGAAGGGTACGTCTCCGTGCGAGCTTTTGTGTATATATAGCGTGGGACCGCCGTGGCATTTACTCTACAAATCCTTCATCCACGCGCTCCTCCTGTCGGCACAGGAGGGAGTGGACGGGGTTGACTTGAATAGTGAACTCCTGGCCCTTTGTGTGGCATTCTGACACTCACTTTGAGCTATTCACATAATTCAATGGGGTAATCAACGTATGGTTAAGGGATAAGATTCAGGTTTAACTTGTTAACTATTTGATTCCCACAGAAAAGTGTTCTCTCTCTCTCTCTGTCTGTCTCTATAAAAAGGTTGTTGGCCGGTGATCTCGATCGGAACATGCTGATGCCTCTTTCATGCTTCACCTCGTCTCACCACACTTCTCTACCCACAAATACACACCTCCGACTTCTACATGAAACAAATGGCACCGGCGTTTGACAGTGTAGGCGGTTACACGCTAGAGTGTGTGTGTGTGTGTTGAAAGGTTTGTGACCGCAACGCAATAAGGAACCTTGGTTGCAGCTTTGAGGAAGTGAATCGCCTTTGAATAGAAATTTTCCTGAAATAGATCTCAACTGCTTCTCTGTTTCTCCTTCACGGCCACGCTGTCTCCTCCCGGCAGTCCTGTGACGTTTGTGTTTTCCAGTTGCTTAGTGGAAAGGAAAGGGTGCGCACTTGCGTCCACGTTCCAGAAGCTGCGGGACGCCGGGCGGCTGAATCCAGGCGACGCGCGCACACACACACAGACACACACACACTCGCCACACAGAGCACTTGTTGGAGTCCGGCGCGTGTCCGGACCAGGCTCTTGGCAGTCGTTCATGGAACGTTGACCGGACAACCGTCGGTGTGTCGCAACCCTCCTGCGGCCATGAATGAGCGCACAGTTGTTAGTCAGCCGCTCGTCGGGTCGGCGCACTCCACCAAATCTTTGTTTTTTCCGGTCGCGCCACGTCGCTGTGACACGAAACGTGGGCGGTCATGCAACGAGTTGCCATGACGGCTCGTTTTCTCTTTCGGTAAGCATGACCTCACGTCCCTCACACACGCACACAGGCCGAGTGTGTGCGCTGAAGTGGCACCTTGTGTTCCTGCATCCTGGCAGGTTTGGAGGGGGAACATTTAGCAAAGAACACTGGCGGCGTTTATTTCGACTCTGGCTCCTTACGTAGGCGAGTCAACGGACATTTAGATGACAAATTGAGAAAATGTGTGCGTCTGCGCCTGCGGCTACCTCAGCTGCACGGAGAGAAGTGTATGCATTTGTGTGTGTTTGTGTGCGCGTGGGTGACGCTCTGAATCAGAGGCCACGGCTTGTCCCTTTTAGGCTTGTTGTCTGACAGGGGAAACGGTCTTTTTCCTCCTCGCGGTGATGCATCAACTGCAGGCTGTCAGCTTCTCAAACAGACACCAGACAGAAATCCTCGTCTGAGGCGCTTCGTCCGGTGTGTGTGTGTGTGTGTGTGTGTGTGTGTGAGACCATGCCTTTAAAACATCACCATGCACCCGGATCAAGAAGCGCATGCAATTATGTCTCTCTGGTGTCTCGGTTAAGCGGAGTTTGTCCTCGTCAGAAGTGCTGCATCGCTGGCGTCTCCTCCGGCGTGATTGATGCTTTCCTCTGGATCTGGGGCTTTGATAATTGAGGCCTTCTGCTGCACCGTGGAGTCTCTCCGTGCAACAGCGCCGCTTTCCCCCTCCAGAGACACAGAGTCGCAACCAAAACCCCCAAATGGCTGCCTGGTGGGCCAGCCCCCCCCCCCCCTCTTCCCCCCCATAATACCCAGCACAAACCTCACTGTTAATGCCACCATCAAGCAACCACCTTGAAATGGCCGTTTGATTTGATCTTTAAGATAAATCGTGAATCCCTCACTTAGGCCAGAATTGCGGCTGTGGCTTTTGAAACCGAATGAACGAGGCGACATCGCCAGGGAGTCTAGTCCGCCGGTCGACACCCCCCCCCGACGATCCGCTTGTGTACACGGGCCAGTACGCTGACTCTTACGTGTTGTCAAGTGACTTCTTTTGAAAGGCTTAATTGTATGACATCTCCGCTCCGCTGCTTGATCCACAGCCAAGCATTCGGACTAATGGAGCCGTATTGATTTGTGTGCTGTTACTCAAGGTCTACCTTTCCCTCCCTCCCGCCCTCTGATTCCATTTACTACCCCCCCGCCCGCCCCCCTCATTTCCTCTACCCGCACCCTTCCTACCCTCTCCCACAGAGGCTGGACATGCTGACCAGCATCTACTCCATGTCGCCCCCTGAGGGCAGTTTGTGGGACGGCATCAGCGGCGCCTCGGACGCGCTGACGTGTGTCTACATGCCAGACGGCCTGACGGTCCAAGTTCCTGTCAGAAGAGACCAGACGGCCGCCGACCTTCTCTCTGCATCTTGCAAGGTTTGCTTGGCAGCTTGCTGCGGAGAAATTAGGACATTTCACCACAATAGGAGAACAATGCGCTGACAGGTGTTGCAAACCCCCCCAACAGTATGACAATTTTGATTTAGTGGTCTTTTATTTTAACTTAATCCTACCACCTGTACTTAATGGTAATGTTGTGTATTTTTTTCCTGTAATGTGGGGTTTAACTGCACCTGTATACAACGTTAATTTGTGTTTTATTTTCAGCCGTGCCGTAATAGTCGAATGGTCTTTGTTTGAGCACCTGCAGAAGCAGATCTGGCTACATTATGTCCCCATGAGCTTGAAATAACACCTCTGTTCATTCACACGGCCCCTTAAGAAGGGCCGCACGTACATGGACACGCACGCGCGGCAAATTCCCCTGGGCAAAGCTTTTTTTGTTTACCGCGAATTCCTCATCGCAAAGTGTAAAGTCGCTGAATAATTCACGCCCCGGCCCCACAGCATCTGTGTGAATGAGCGCTGGTGCATGAAATATGTCCGCTGATTTTGTGCATACAGCCCACTGAACATTAGTGTGCACAGGTGAAACAGCTGGACGCGGGCCTGCACTGCCTCAGACTGCACAGGCGAGCGGGGCAGGGCGTGGAGGTCCGATACCTGGCTCCTGGAGAGCTCCTCGGCGACGTGGTGAGGAGGGAGAACATGCAACGTCACGCCACGCGGCGTTCTTGGTGATCTGCTCTTTGCTCAACGTGCATTGCTGTCCCCCTTGTAGGTCAATGATCAGTTGGAGGTGGTCCCGGTTAATGTTTTTAATCTGCACATGAGAAGGCCGAGCGACGCAGGAGACTTTGGTGAGGCGACCACGCGTATACGTGGACTGATTTTAGATGTGGTTGTGTCTGTAGCTTTCGTCATCTTTCGTTCTGTCTTAACTCTCCTTGCTGGGCTCCATCTGTCGTCTCTCGTCCAGGCTTCGCAGTAACGGGACACATTGACAGCCAGAAAAACAGCAGGATCTTTGTCAGCGAAGTGCTTCCCGACGACCTGGCGTTCAACGAAGGTGCCCGCCTACTCAGGAGTGCCGCAAATAACGCTGAAGCCATCGATTCCATTGCTCTCCTCCCTCCCTCCGCCTTTTTCTGCAACTCGCTTGTCTCTTGTCAGGCCTGCGTCCGGGCGACGAGATCCTGGTGCTGAACGGCAGGTGTGTGTCGGGCCTCGACTTGGCTCTGATCCAGACGCTCTTCGCCGAACAAGACCTGCACCTCAGCCTGAGGAGGGACGGGCCGCTGCCGTCGCCGCCGCCGCCGGTGACCTGCGACCCCCGGGCCCCTCCCCTCAAACCCAACCAGGAGGTCCGCGGCAAGCACCACCGCGCCAAGTCCTCTTCAGGTGCTTATGCCAGTGTGGCACCGAACCACAGAAACCCCCGTACATCTGGTCGTTAGCGGGGATGGATTTGCACTGGGAAATGATATCGGTTTTACTTGCTTAACGGCACAATTGAAGGTAGAGTCGATTGTGATGCCTCTTAGTTTCATTTTGTCAGACAGATGGTGAGAAGGAAAAACCGACGTGTCGGCTGTGAAATGCTCGACACACACTTTCGTTTAGCCCTTCCTCGATTCTGTGTGCTGTTATCAAGTTTTCTCTGAAAGCAAGGTAATCACGCTGTGTCATCCTTCCTCTAAACAAACGTGGGTCGGCCACTGCTCACAGTCAACACCCTGTCGACGCATCCAGTTTTCAGTTTCATGTCTTTGCATCACGCTCCGTTTCCAAATGAGTTTTTGAGTTCGTTAGTCTCAGCAATATGGGATTTAGCGAAGCCTCGAAGTTACTCGTCGGTGGCTTAATAGCGTTCGCTGCGAAAGGTTTGTTTCTTAAACCACGAAACAGCTTACATCACTTCTGCTCTGGTGAAGACCGCATTTCGTTCGGTACTTCCTCAAGAGCCACCCCTTCCCTCAACACGCTCAAAAGTCTAAAGGACCAGAGATGAAGTCTCACAGTTCTGCGAGGGAGAGGAGAGACCAGGGTGGGTTTTTGACTGTGAATGCAGAGCTGCCCGTCAGCTTGGTTTTCTCTCACTGGGGATCTGAGGTGTTGGAGAAATAGTAAGTCCATCCAAGTTGCCCGGAGCAACACAACTGATGCCCGGCTGGTAGGGATACGTTTTGTTGGTTCGAGCCTCGATCTGAAAAGGTAAGGCGGATGTATTGGTGCAGCCCGAGTCAGGTTTAAGTCAGGTTGCAGTTCTTCGGTTTGTTCAGTTCATGTGGTCTAATTATTTCCATTTAAAATCTGAAGATGTGAGGACGGCGGCGAATTAAACTTTTGCGGCTTCAGGACACGCGCCTTTTAAATTGCCTTTTAACATCCTTGAAAAAATAATTACAACGCACCAAAACATTACAAACAAACTGCCTTTCTGTTGACTTTTCATTGTTTGGCATGAAAAGTATAAACAAAGAGTCCGTTTCCCAGAAAGTATCAAGCCTCATTTCAATGATTGCAATTCATTAGTGCCTCCTGCTCCACAGCCGTAATTGAGCCGGGAGGAATTAAGGACTTGACGGCCTCATTACGGAGAGCGGTGTGATCAAAGCGCCTGCAGTTTGCTTCTCGCTCTCTAGAGGGCGTGTGATTTCAGACAGGCGGATAAAGAGGCACGGAGGTGAAATCAGACATTAACACAAATCGTTTAACGATGACATCCACAGGAAACCGTGATTTTATCTTGATGGATTCAGCCTCGTGCAAATGTGCGAGACAAAAAGAACCAAATTCCGATTACTGGATATCTTTTGTGAATCTACTCCATCAGCTGATTGGCATCTTGAAAAAGAGGTTCTGCTCCACAGGAGGTCCAGAAGTTTGCCGTTGTTTCCTGCTGTCACCTTCAGCCTTCCAGGCTACAATCAAGGATAAAGTCTGTTCGTGTGCCAACCGCTAGAGTTTGTCCTCTTGGACCTTGAATGTAAAGACCGGTCACTGGGAGTATTCGCTAACGTCCCCCATGTCATTACGGATTAAGTGCAAACACATAGAGTTTCATAGCTACTACTAGAAAAGAGACATATTTTACAATCTACGAGAGCGGCAGGCCGCATCGATGGTTTTAAACAATAACTAGCTTCCATTGTTTGTGTACTGTGGTCAATAGAAGGATGTGCTTCAGTACACGCACACGCCTACTAAAGCTCAACCCGATTTAAAAAATGTCCTCTTGTCTCTCTCTCTTTCCCCAGATGTGGGCAATGCAGCTGATGGTTCTGGTTCCCCGGGTGTAGGACTGGAGGACAGCTCCTCCCTCTGCACGCTCAGGCCCGTTCAGCACAGCAAGGTAGGAGAGCTGAAAAGAAAGTATTTCCATTGTCTCATAGAAATCCACTACAGCACCCCCCCCCCCCCTCTCTCTCCCTCCCTCTCTTTCTCCCCCCTTCCCCCTGCCGGGTTAGTCTGTGTTGAATAAAAGTGGGCACACTGTGGTGTGTGTGTGTGTGTGTGTGTGTGTTTGTGCCCACTCACACTGGCAGCTGTGGGATTGTCAGAAACCAGACAGGCACCAATTTCTTTGGCATTACCATAATTAGATACGCCATCGTAGCCAGCGGTACCAACACAGCTTATTACTGTCATGCAGATAGGATGCGGGCTAAAGAGAAGTGGCTGTGCCCACTGCCTCCTCAACACACACGTACATGCATACATGCACGCATGCGTGCACGTGACCGAGTATTCCCGCCGTGCATAAATAAATCACATCCACTCAAACTTGCATATGTAGCATCATATCGAAACCAACAAACAGTATATTTTGTAAATACTCATATTTCCTGTGACAAATTCCTGGTGCTTGTGTCTGCCTTCTTGGTCCTGTCTTTACTCTTAAACACTATGCAGGCGGCCTGCAATCGATACAACTCTAGTGTCTGTAATATCTGTGAATATGCCCAATGGTTGTCCCTAATGATTCATGCCAGATTGCATGCCTATTTCTGTTCTGTCTGTTGTCGAGCATCCGGCCAGGTTTTTGATATGCAGTTTATTGAAGTCATTAAATTGAGCATGAGCCCGTCCCGTTGGGAATTACAGCCCGCAGTGATGCAAGAAGGGAAAGTGTGTGTGTGTACCAGTGTTTATGGGGAGCAGTAATGAGTGCGTGGTCATCACAAAGAGCCACGTGCCAGTGATCTGGACATGGCTGCAAGACAGCCGAGGTGTGTGTGTGTGTGTACGTTCATGCATATGCCCCATCTCTTACATAATTTAGCTAATACGTCGTGTCCTTTGTGAGCTACGTAGTTACTGTCAACAACGTTGAGTGCATGTCTGGCACACTTTCACCAACCTGCTCGTTATGTAACGAGGCCTAAATTGGAAAGGGAATAGGCCGTCATGTTGTCGTGTTTATTTCATTAATGATTCATTGATAGTAAATCCAGGCCAAATATCCAGAAAACCACCTCTAATTGCTGTAGCTGCCCTTGCCGCTCTCCTCTAATTGCCTGTGTCGGAAGATGCCGCGCAGCATTTGACCCGAGGTCAGCCGGGAGGTGGATTAGAGAGGAGGACTCGTGCCCAAGTCTCCTCTTTCTGAATGCCCAGCGACATGAGTCAGTCCCGCTGCGCTGGGATCTGCACTGCACCACGGCTGCTGCTGCTCAGCGGAGGAGTGGATGGGAGAAAGGTGTGTGTGTGTGTGCGCGCGCTTATGTCACTGCATATGTGCTCACTTGAGGCACAAAAGGAGGACCGGCGCTATGCCTCCACCAGGGAGTGTCGGCCACTGTGGCAAAACAAAGGCTGGTGAATACTTTGCATTTTTGCCTTCTCACTAGGCGAACTATCCTTGATTAATCGGCCCTTTTACATTTCCAATTTGTGGTTATTACACAAGAGCGATCCGTGTGTTTGTGTGTAATTTTGAGGCGCTCACCAGGCACGGTTAGCAATGTTTTACTTTATTCACTTGCTTAATTGATAGAGGCACTGATTGTGACTCCTGCGCCTGTGGGTTACTCAATGGGACGTTTGGCTACACGGCACACAGCAATCGTTTTAAAGCGGTGTCGCCGTAACCAATCGATTGCGGACGCGAACTGAATTGGTGCCGGAAAACTCCCCGCAAGGTCCGTTAAATGGATTTGACATGCCTCGCGCTGTGAAGTTGTGCAATCATACGAATGCATTTAGGCAAAATATGAACGCCGGCATCCATTTTTTTTGTTTGTTTGTGCTTTACCTAATCTTAACTGGTTTAGCAACTGAAGGGCTTTAATAGCGGCTCGATGGGGATTTGTCTGCTGAAAGGTCCTCATCACATCACACTCCTCCATAGCGTTCCGGGCGTTCTCAGGAGACAGATGGAAGAGACACGGGAAGTAATCTGGCATGATCTGAATTCCCCACATGGCACCAGTCAACACGTCAACCTTTGCACAAGCAGAGGAACATAGCAGGGTGACATTAAGGTTCTTGTCACTGAAATTATTAGTCGGTTGATCAATAGAGAAATATATATACCGTATGCCAACATTTTACCGTTTCCAGCGTTTAAAATTTCATCATTTATAAGATAGTAAAAAGTACAGAACATCTTTTAGATTTTGGACAGTTAATATTACAATTACATTAAGTATGCAGGAAGTTGGGATTATCACTGTATATCAGTGTGTGTAGCATCACTTCTACTGCCATGTTACTGCACGTTGTAAGGCTGCCTGTCATGTGTTTGACTCGAGGTTTAAACAGGGGACAGACATATTAAGCCTCTTTGCCTTCGTCCAGACTAAAGGTCTCCATAAGAGCATTTAAATGGACTTATGAGGAGAGCTACACCGGAGCCATCTTCTGTCTGGCTCTCAGTAAGCGAGAGAGAGAGATTTGGCTTGATTCACCTGATTCAAGTAGTGATGTTATTCCGCTTCATCTCTGATCAGAAGAAGGTATTAGTCGGCTGCAGCATTTGGGCGGTTTCTATTACCTCGTCTCTCCTTCAGGTCCCTTATGGACGAGAGGAGTCTGAGAGGTGTTTTTAACACTTTTAAAAAAAATGTGTGACTAACAGAAAGTTTAAATTATTCCTTTTTTCGATTCTCCTCTCTCATCGCGGCTCCTAGACTTCAAAAGAATATGGTAGATGCCTACGGATATTGGGCTATATCTTCTTCTTCAAACACGCTCCCGTCTTCCTCGGAGCTACAACCATCCCCTTCCCAACGTTAAGAGAATCTACTTTACCCGACTGGGGTGGATGTCTGTCTGGGATGGGAGTCTGGAGGGGTATATTTACTGAGACGTGTGTGTGTGTGTGTGTGTTATGACTAAACCATGATGCCAGATGCCATCTGGCCGTGAGCAGGCTAATAATCTGGGCTTAGGGTTCGTTCTTGCACGCCGGATCTCGTCAGTCCACTCCACAGTGAACAAGTTGGAAAGACAGAGCTGGAGACAAAGAAAAAGTACAAAAGAGGGAGCGACGCAGGGGCCGATTGGGACCCCGGATCAACCATGACTGGAAATGGCTGAAATGGCCGCGCCGCGGGTGGCCGGCGCAGCCGGGGCCGTGGCCGTGGCCATACCCATCGTGGCCCCGGCGGTGAGCGATGAAGATCCTCAGCCGGGCCTCTTCCTCACCACCTTAGTCGGGCTCTTCATGCGGGACCAGTCGCCTGTGCAGGCCCTGTGCTCCCTCCTGGCCATGTGCTGGTTCTGGCCGTCCGGCTGCCAGGCCGAGGAGAAGGACCTGCTGCGGGGCTCCGTGCTGCTCAGCTTGGGGAGGTTGGTCAAAGACAAGCTGGGCTGCCTGGCTCGGGACATGGCCGCCTGCCTGTCCTGCAAGAGGGACGCCAAAGGGGACAAGCGGACGGTAACTATCGGCCCGCGTGCTTCTCGGTCGCGGGAGATTTTCACTGAGGCAGCTGATACTATGAGGGTTCACACTCGAGCTGCAAACCTTCACACACAACTCCCACAACCTTCTGTGTGTATTTGCTAAAAATATCTCCAGTGCTACGAAGTAATTTTACACTCAGAGCCTTTTATTTGCATTTGATTAGCAACTCAGCCTTTTTTTTCTTCTTTTTTTAAGCGCTCATAAATTACAGTGTGCATTTACAGTATCCCATGCAATATGTATGAATTTACTGCATTTTTTAGCCATGCTAGTGGTTTGGCTCCAGCTTTGTCAACCCAACTCATGTAGACGGAAACATCTCAAACTATGGGACAGAAGCCATGAAACTGGCCAGAGGATGAAACACACTCACTTTGATGTTCCTTTGAATATTTCTTCTGCGCCATTTATCCCAAATCAACGACATTCCTACCAACCCGAGCTGTACTTTGTGACTAGTACCCGATAGCACGCATGTTAGCACGCATGTTAGCACGCTGACGGACGATGATGTTTGAACACGGCAAGCATTGCCTGCTAGACTAGTTTGTCATTGTGACTCAAACATTTGCTCATGTGTCGTGTTTCCTACCGGTTGACCCCGCCAGCCCACTTAACTCAGCCCTGACCTGGTGGTCTTTAATTGAAATGTTCTCCTGTAAGATTCATTGTTGCAGACAGTCAAAAGGTTATAGCGTTACTTTTCTCCCGCCTTCATTGCCGTTCGTGGTTTTATCTCGGCAGTAATGTCTGTAATATAATTAATTCTATTGGTCTGACTGGCAGTTAGAGTCTTTATTCATGTATTCACTCACTAACTGTCCCCCGGTGTGCCTAGTGGGTCTATTATCTGTTAGCATCACGCCATCTCTGGCAGGTCTATGGTGTGAATAGTTCAGGGTCCTTTGGTCACTTCTGAATCACCCGGATTGATCTTTTTCCAGATCAGAAAGGGAAACGGGGGCTGCACAGGGATCTGCATTAGTTATTCCTCAGACGTGTTCAGTGTTGACAACAAGCATTTCCACTGAACCTTTCACTTAGATTTTGGCATCTTGCTGGGGTAAGCACGGCGTGCTAACGTTATTCTGCCTCTGCACTGGCAGTAGCGCAGCGGAGAGGGTCCGGATTGCCGAGGGGACTCGGGCGCTGTAATTTGAAGCCGGCTTCATTATTAAAATACAGTCCTCCTCTAAAGTCCTCTGAGACTTGGTGGAATAATATTTGTTTAGGGTGAATAATACAAGGCGCAAATGGGCTTGAGTGGAGCGCGACGGGACCCCCCCTCCCCCATTCCCCCATCTGCTGTGTTTGATTTACGATCATGCGTCTCTTTTTATTGAGCTTTGTAAAGAAGATGGCATCATGGCAGAATAGCCCACTAACATGGCGTATGAATCACCGGCCTGCCAGGACTCGCTCTCTCTCTCTCACTCTCACTCTCT